GCGTACCCGTCGCGGCATGGAGTGCATAATTAATGACCTTCGTGCTGCCAAGTTTTGCATTGCAAATGGCGCCTAGAAGGCGCGCGAGCGCGCACCCACTATGAACGCGCGTGCATGCGGAAAGAATGGACGAACCGTTGTTTAAACTGTGAAAGAAAGAAAGAAAGAGGGGGATGCTTGTGACCGAGGGGTGTTGGGTACGAGGTCGATGAAAGGGATTCAGAGGAAAAGGGGGAGAATAAGAATGTAGCAGTACCAGTATCACATCAACAGCAGCGCCATCTGCAACAGCAGCAGCTCAACGAATGATCAACAACGAGAAAGTTTTTAGATCAATGTTAATTCATTCGTATAATTTTCCGTGCTACTTAAACCTATCACTGAGCTTTTTTTTCTTTTTAATTCTTAATATTATTGTCTGAATAATTGGGGTATTATTTTTCTCATAGATTTTATAGGTTATGTCGAGTTTTGTTATATCTTGTATAAAGTAAGGTTATGTGAAGACAATTGAGTTATTGTTATATTTTGATGTGTATTTGTTGATAAATTTTTATGAGAATGATCTGAGATATCTGAGAATAATCTTTCTGAATATATTAAAATATTAAATAATCTTATTTATTATGAGATTACACACTAATGTTAATTGCAATTAGTTGAAGAAACAATTTCGAGGAATTTGAAACCTATTGGAAAATTTGATATCGTTTTAATCGAATATTTTCTATTCCTTATTATATAATTGAATAATAAATTGTAATTAATTAAAAATAAACGCGTGTATATATACTCGAAATAATTTGTCCCTGACACGTGTGCGAAACTAAATTTGTGGTTCCTAATATTCAGCTGTTGACTGATTATATACTCCAGAAAACTTAAACAAATGAAACGGACTAAATATAATTGAATACCTTTTGAATAAACTCACCGAAATATGTTTCGTTTCAATGCCATTGAAATTAATATGGATCCGTTTTTTATTCACTTTAAGCATGGCTGTTAACTGTTCGATTCTTAATTCAGTTTAACAACAAAAATATACACTCAAATGCATACGGGGTGCATTATTTTTTATACGAAAATCAATTTCAATTTTCTTACGCGTAATGTGAATAAAATTAAAAAGAAAGATAAAATTAGAAAAAACAACACACACGTACACGCACTCATACACGATATTCAAACAACACACTACTGAAGAGAGTTGGGTGTTTTCAGATATAATCGGCGAGTTGATTGAAGAATAAATAATAAAAAAAAGGAAAAAAAAAAAGAAAAAACATGATCACACACATCGACGGGTATCGTAATGTCGCACAATTTCGATTTGGTTATCTCCGAGCAGTATGGAACAACAACAAAAAAAATTGAACGATAAGACGTTATCAAAAGTTATCTTTAAGTTGGGTTTAAAATAATCGAACGGTGGTATCTTTTGCTGTTTAACACAGAAACATTTCAACATCATAACGATGATAATAATACTTAAATGATAATAACGATAACGAATTAAATTGATAATAATAATAAACTGAGTTTAATAATACGTAAGTAAAAGTATCCTAACTCGGAGAGAGTTCAAGACCAACTGAGAACCGAGCGTTGACATTTTTAGTAAGAAAAAACACCAAGAAGAGTTAGGTAGGGAAGAATAATATATAGAAGAAGAGTCCCAGTATGATTGGCTGTTGCAACTTAAAAGGACCTTTCTTTCCCTCTTTACATTGCAAGGTGTACGAACCCTAAAGAGTCAATCAAACAACAGGGTCTCTCATCAGCCAACCAACCCATACAAATCTTATCTTCCTTATCTCCATTGAATTTCTATTCCTCGAATTAGTAATACAAACCTCGAAAAATTGTAAAAGTTAACATTACGTATCTAGAAATTCATTATAAAGATAAGACGATAGAACAAGTGTGTACACTTGAAAAGTATGAATCAACGAACTTTAATAAGATTAAAATCTCAATCTTTCCCTTATTTTTCTATTTATATCAAATACATTTTTTATTTCATATCAAATGATACTACTGTTAAAAAAAATTACTGATCAAATATTGTTATATTATATTTAAATCGTATAATTTGTTCTCTGTTCGTTTCATTTATTTTTAATAATGTGAATTGGAAAGTAAACGTTTAGGTTGAGAACGACTGAGTTTTATATGTGTGCTATATAAAGTAAAAAAGGGTCGGTGAAGGGGAAGGGAAGGAAAAGGGAAAAGAGAATAGAAGAGAGAGCCCCGGGTGTGCACGCACAGTCAGAGGCAGGTTTTGGCTGGCTGTCAGGAGCCGAAACGTGCACAAAGGGCAGGCAGGTGTTGGAATGCATCGATTACCTCTCTCCTTCCCCCCCCCTGCCCTTCCTACCTCTAGCCCTTCCTTTTAACCCCCATTACTACTAAACCTATATATCTGACTATTATACATTCCAGTATCTAGTATCTGTGAACCTCACCCGTATCTTCCTTTACCCATGCGTCAACAACCAAAGCACACGTGGAAGAAAAAGAAATCTAACACCAACGTGCGCGTTTCCATGTGGTTCTTCAAATGTTTCCCATGTATGTCTCCTCTCTATGTGTGGGGAAAAAAAAACTTGTCTCTATTTTTTTTCTTTTCCCTTCCTTCCCAAGCTTTTTTTTTCCTTTCTCTAAACATCCGATGACTCATAATAGTTGTGCCCCCCTTTTTTTTTTCTTTTTCTATTGTGACCAAATACACTTATCTATTCAAATTTTAAAGGATCACGCAACTTTATTGACATTTAAATTGTGCTCAGAGATTTGACATTCGTATAAATAGTATTAGAAATAATATAACAAATCAGAAATTGTACGCGTAAATTATTCCGACGGGAAAAAATCCTAACCTAAAAATTTATACATAATTTTTATATAGACTTATTTCTTGAGAATACCACAAAAAAAAAAAAAGAAAAAGAAAAATGTGTTATAAAACACAACACTAAAATCAGTCTCGAGGATGAGCGAATTTATTCGACAACAGGATTAAATATTTTCAAACTGCGTTTTGAATATTTTGTTTGTTTGTTTCCTGTCGTTAGAAGACACAAAAAAAAATGAAGTTTAACAAATGAGACGAGGTATGAGAGAAATGGGAGAACAAGTTCGGGGGCCGGTGGCTGGGGGGTTGAGAGGAGGAGGAGGGTTGGAACTTTTATTCTGATCATAAAGCATTTAAATAATCACGAAGGCTTGCTCGTTAACGAGCGTTAAGTTTAACAGATTATACTGCATCGTCAAATATCATGAATTATATTCGCTACTATACTATACTATACTACTACTACTTCTCTACCTATCTCACTCCCTCTTATTCATTTTCCTTCTCATTCTATTTCTCTCTTTTGTTCCCGTTGAAAGAACGAATAGGAAACGAGGAGCTTTAAACGGGCGGGGTGTGCCGTTTTCCTTCGCTAATTATCCCATCCATCGTTTCTTGGTCCCTTCGTGAAAGGATCTGAGTACAGTGACGTATAACGGGTTAATAACAAGCAACTCTTCAGTATTACTCTTTCTTTCTCTTTCTCTTTAACTATTTCCTCCTTTTTTTCTTTCTCTAGGGATCCACCTACACACACACACACTGGTGGTACAAACGTATGGAGCCCCCTTTTTTCAACACTACAGTTACTTTTCAATTCGTTCAAGGGATCAGGGGTAGAATAGTAACAGGAATGGTGATGGTGGTGGTGAGGGGGAGGGGAGGGGTACTTGGAATTATAAAAGGGGGATCGATTATTCGATTAACGTTCAGAAGAAAATGGGGGGGGTGGGGGGTGGGGAACGAGTCTTATATAAGGGAACCATTCATTCCTTCAAATCGATTTATTTCACAAAAGATAAAGTTAAGAACGTTGGGATCAAGTTTGAAAGGGGTAACTTTGTTTTCTTCTTCTTCTTCTTCTTTTTTTCTTTTTTTTGATTAATTGCAGACTCTTCGTACTGATTATTATTATTATTATTATTCGTTGGGATCATTTGAACAAGGACAAAAAAAAAGAACAATTATTAATCGTGTAATATCAAAAACTGAACACGTTTTATTCTTAAAATTTTTCACACTTGTTTGACACCCCCCCCCCCCCTAAAAATTGCATTTCATGTTATCGTCATTTAATAATTTTGTCTAGCTTTCTTAACAAAATGTTAAATAATAATAATAATAATAACAACAACAACAAACAAAATAACAGTTGGTATAAATTGATAAATGTTGGTAGAATTTAAGTGAAATTATTTGTACACGTGGCTTGGTTATGGGATGAGGAGACGAATGTTATTAATTGAACAAAAAAAAAAAATATGATTCAATAAATTGGAGAAGATTGAAATACTATTGCGTATTATGTGAGACGACACATCGTTTAAAGTTGAAATGTTATCTTTCCTCGCATTTTCCTCGAGGGTTATCGAATTGAAGAGCAAAACAAAATCTTGCTTAAACGTTATATATATGATACGTGTTGAAGGGGGGTTTTTTTTTTGTTGTATTATTTCGCTTAGATTATTTCATTTATTTGTCCGTTTAGTTATCGTCATTTTTGCTTCGTTATTTCCGAGTTGTTCTAACGATAATATTAGCAATTCCAATGAATGTTTAATAAAAGCACTCTGTGCTAACTAACTGGACCATGACGCAACTTATTGTTGTCATCAAAAAACCCCGATTGATGATTATTTATTAAAGTTTTATTTCGAATAGCAGATTATGAAAATACAACGACGTATATTTCATTCATTTATCGTACGACACACTTTAATCCAATTATAATATAATAAAAAAAAAAAAATGATGGCGCGGTGGGGTGTATGAAAGTTTAGAAATATTCAACAACCCCAGTTCTGTTGAACACTGTGTTCTTTTTGCTGTTGTTTTTTTCTTTTTTCGAAAAAAAAAACACGAATTGTTTGTTTTATTCGCATAAGTTGATCGCTAGAATTAAGAGTAGGCATTGAGAACTCACCTTTTGCTGTGCCAACCTAAGGGATTCCTCGAAATGTTTGTGAACCGCTTGCTCGGCGGCCCTTTGTTTTTCCAACCTCTCTCGTTCCATCTTCGTCTCGCGCTCGCGTTTTTCTAATTCACGTACTTCCGCTTCCCTTCGTTCCCTGAAGAAATAACAAAACAAACGGAAAAAACAAATGACAGGTTAGTAATTCGATACAATTCGAATGGTGGGGTGGGGTGGGGTGGGGTGTGGGGGGGGCGAGGGGTTTGTTGTTTTTCAAAATAATTTCTTGGTGGTAAGAGAGGGGCTCGATTAAATACAAAAACAAGAATAATACAAAACTAAGAAAAAATTGCTATCGAAAAGAAAAATATTCAATACGATAATTTATATATTTTAAATATTGTGGGTGGGTGTGTGTGTGTGTAATGATAAAATATCTTGTTCTCAGGAACAAATTCAATTCGTCTAACTTTTTTATTCAAACAATGATAACCAACCAACAATCCACACCATTTGATCTAATTATCTTTTTAATGTAATATATTTGTAATTAAAAATTAAACCGTTGTACAAACAACTACGTGGTTATTGTTTTGAAATGATCTATGTGTGTGTGTGTGTGTGTGTTATTTTTTTTTATTTTTCCCCCCTTTTTAATCTTACATTCTCATTATTTTTCTCAGTATTCTATTCTAACAAGAAATATAGTAGAGTACGCGATAATAAATGCGAAACTGGTGAGTGTACTGTTTCAATGCGTAGCTCTTCACACACATGTACACACGTATATACATATATGTAGACGTGTAATATACATATAAAGAGGAGTATGGAGTTTTTAAGTTAACTGGTCGCGAGAAAGAGATAAGCATTCATTAACGTTTGCGCAAGTTATTTATACTAATATACAAGCATACACACACACACACACACACATATACACTTAAAGCAATAATAAGAGACGCGTGTTTATCTACGTTCCTTGGTCTGCGGACCTTAAAATGCACACGCGGGAAATTCGCCCTGCGATTGTTAACAGCTAATAACGTGCACACATAACGTGACTCGTCATAGTATGTTGGTCGCAATACAAAAAAAAAAAAAAACAAAAATGGAAAGGAAAAAGATAAATAAACGATACCCAGATAAACCAGATTCTCTTATTTTGACGTATACATAAAAAATCGGTTAAAGTTTAACCCCATAAATTTTAACCCCAATCCGATTATTTATCACGATTGGATATTTGTTTAATCAAATATATATTTGGGTTCTATTAATTTTCCATATAATACTTTATAATACAATATTAATATATTTATTTAATATATGCCACACCATATTATGTTTATTTTAATCATCATTATATTTTCATTTAGAATTCGATGATTTTTTCTACTCATATATTATTTTTGTTAATGTTATCCTAACGCAGTCATATTGTATATTATATACAATGATTACAATTTTAAATTCCCCATCCATCCAATTAACTTTCCATACGTTAATACAATATGACGTCCCGGTGGCACCACATTGGTGCCATGCGAAAACAATCGTATAAATGCCGGTGGCTCCACGTTGGTGCCATACGAAAACAATCGTATAAATGCCGGTGGCTCCACGTTGGTGCCATGCAAATGTGTTAGTGCAAATGATGTAATAAATCAGTTCTACCAACGCAACACGAAAAAATCTAAATTCGACGTGCGGACAGCATAGCCCTCTCCCCCTACCCCCCTTTTACCCAATTCCCTATTCTCGTTAATTGTAAGAAAAAAAGAAAAAAAAAAAAAATTAGATTCAGAATAAATATAATTCATCGAATGAGAGATAGAGAAAGAAAATCCTTCTACTTCTTCTTCTTCTTATTCTTATTATTATTATTATTCGATAAAAGTGAAAGAGAATAATTCGCACGCTCGTTTGTTTGATGCATTAAAGGAAGAATGAAGAAGATGCAGACGTTTATTGCAACGTTAACCGCATTATTTCCTGATATGCGAGATTTCTTCTTCTTATTCTTTTTCTTCTCATGACCGATCATAGAATGCAAGCAAGCAAGCAAGCAAGAAACCAAACAAGCAAACAAACAAGAGTTCTGAGGGGGCCGTCGTGCAGCAGAGAATACGCGAGGAAATACAAACCAAGAGGAAACGAGAAAGAGAGAATGAGAAAGATGAAGAAGAAGAGAAAGAGGATTACGGGGGTGGGGAAGGGGATGGAAAGGAAAAAAAAAAAAAAGAAAAGAGAGGATGGTGTTCCGCAAATGCGAGTTACTGTTTCGTTGTTCTGTTACATCGGCTTTCGCGTTCCAAGAAAGCGTACCTCACTTTCCGGAGTTCTACGTTAGCTTAGGATTGTTGTATTTGTATATATATATGTATATATATGTATGTGTGTATATATATATGTGGCTTGGAAACTTATGCGAGTCGGCAGCGCCGGTTTGTTCGGTTTTTTTTTCCAGTCCAAACTCTTCGTGAACTTTGCCAACGTTGCGTTAGATATTCTTCCCCCTCCCCCTCCTCCCCCCCAGTCCCCCTTCGCATTATGTGTGTTATACGCATTAAGAAAAGATAGAGAGAGAGATTGGAAAAGAGATAATTAGATGATGAGTGGAATCGTATTAAATTTATCTCGATTTAGTTTTCGTGTACAACGTGTGTGAACGGAAATAAAAATACAATATTATATATTTTAAATAATAACGCGGAATATTGATTAAGTGTTATTTCTTTTTTCTGCTCTATTTTGCGTGTTAATTTGTTTTTTCTTTTTATTTATTGCAAATTGTATATATATGTGTTATGTGTGTGTGTTGTGTGTTATTCATGCATTTATTTTTTTTCTTTTTTTTCTGCGCGTGTACGATATTGTTATTTATGATGCGATTATTGTTAATTACTTGTTTACTTTGTCTAGCATTTTCGACACGTTAGATTTATATTTCGTTTTCGATAATTATATTATTACTTATTATTATCTCGTTTTAACTTATCGTTTCCTATACTTCTTTTTTTTTTTTTTTTTCTTTTTTTCTGTCTTCTGTTTTTCTTTTTTCGTAAGTAGTTATTCGTATTTCAAGGTTACGTCACGGTGTTTAATCTAATTTATCGATTTTGGTTTAGCGGAAATTCGTAGGAGTTTCAAAAAGTTCTTCTTTCTTTTTTTGTTTTCACTTTGAGAAATCTTTTCTATGTTTTTAAAAAAAAAAAAAAAAAGAACAGAAATGGGAGAAGTATAAAAGAGAGGAATATTTATTTTTAATACACACACACACTCTCTTTCTCTTTCTTTCTTTCTTTTTTTGATTCTCAAATATCAGGATGAAACACACGCTAACATCGGATGGGGTCAACGTGACCCTAAATGCGTCCAGCAGGACACAAAATGACTGGTTTCCTTAGTAAGGTTAATCGCCAGTCAAGATGGTCGAAGGCCAACCGGACAGGAATTCCACACGCCTCTTCTTCTTATCCTTTCTTTTTTCTTCTTCTTTTAAATCATCTACACAACACACACATATATGTATATACCCAAATACACAAACCTCGTACACACCTGCACGCATACTACCATAACCGAATAACGAACGAAAGAACGAACAAACTCTCACACACACACACATATACACTTAAACTTTTCTTAACAAACTTCACGAGTAATCTATAAAAAAAAAAAAAAGAAAGAAAAACGAGTATGCGTGTGTTTGTGTGAGAGTTGGTTCAGAAATCGAGCAGACCCCAAGACTGTTGCGAGCTGTGCTTGGTTGGTCGGTTGGTTGGTTGCATGCATGCATGCATGCATGCCAGTCGATAAACCAGTCTGCTATGGGAAAAGGACAGGTTCGGGCTGCGGGTAAACCTTTGAAAAATCCGGTTGCTCTACAGCAGCAGACCGGACTGACCGGAGAAAGATAGAAAGAGCAAAAAGAATGAAAGACACACATATACACACACATACAATTTTCTTATTCACTCACTCGGTAAAACTCACTTTATTCACTCACTCACTCACTCAGTAACTCGAAGGAACACACGACGGTGAATATCACCAAAAAAGGACTTATGCATCCTTCCTATCAGGGTCCAGCAGGTCTACCTTCAGTCTCCTTTCTTTTAACTCTTCTACTACTACTCTTCGCAAAACCAGATCTGACAAACTATGTATCAGGGTATATAAAGTTTTGTAGGTATTTGTGATTCCCGGTGTGTATACATACTTGCGTCAGATAACTCTGGACAGAAACCGGACAAGCTCCCCCAACTAGTTATTGTGCCACGGAGATACTACTTTTTCTTTATACTTCTTATTCTTCTTATTCCTATTCTTATTTTTCTCTTTATATATTTATTTCTTTTTTCTTTCAAAGTAGCGCCATCGACCAGTTTCAGTATTCCTTTCCTATTTCGGTCTCTCTTTTTTTTGTTCCCGACCTTCTTCATCTCTCTCTCTCTCCTTCTGATTATTGTTATTATTTTTCGGCTTTTTTTTCTTCTTCTGCCCTTTCTTTTTCTATTTGTTTTTTTTTCTTATTCTTATTCTTCTTTCTCTCATTTATCTCGTTCGTGGAAAAGAAAATTACACGAGAATAGAACATACACATAAGAATCGTAATATTTGGTGGTAAAAGGTAGACAAGGTTATATATGTAATAGGAAATAAAAGTATATAATATACTGTTTAAACAGTTTCCTTGAAATCCGTCTGGGATATGAGGAATATTCGAGTGTTTACACGATCATTGAATGACGGTGTATTACGTACGTTTACGAGTCTTGTGTTTATTCCAATCGACTGACACTTTTGTTTGTCTCATTTGGTTCTCTCTGAGAAAGAGAGAGAGAGAAAGAGAGAGAATGTATTTCAATATTCTCAATATTTCGATTAACAGATCTAAACTGAATCGAAAATTGTTTCAATATTCAATCGCGTATATATTATTTCCAATTGATTTTCATTTTATTTTATTTCATTTCATTTCGATTTATTTTACCTTTCTTTTTTTCGTTAAAGTTCATTTGTAAGATTTTCTAAATATATATATATAAGTAAGATTTACCTAATCATAATTATATAAGTTTCTAGTTGGATGTTAAAACAATTGGGTTACATAAATAAATAAATATAAATAAATAAATATGTTATAGAGTG